GCGATTAAAAAGATGATTGAAAAGATGCTTACGTTTAAATTGAGTTCTGCAACTGCTACAATTTCTATAATCATGTCTTATGCTGCAATTCTTGTTGCTGACATTTTTTTGTTTTCAATATATCAAGGAAAGACGGGGATGTACACATCATACACTTCAGTTGCGCAGATGTGGAATGAATTTTCTTTTATTTTGGTATCCATATACGGATTTTTTTCTCTGTTTCCCATTTTGAAGTGATTGAATGCATTTGAATGGATTTGGGCGGTGTGGGGAGGGGGTTTGGATGTGGGAATGGTGATTGAACTTATTGTGAATGCTGAAAAAAAGAAAATAAAGCTTTCTGTTCATTCTGTTTCATTCAAAAAGATGATGATACTGTATTTGTTATCAAGAAAAAAATCAAACCCCTTCATCTAAGCGATTTTGTAAAATAAATCCCAAATTCGATTTGAGATAAGGCAGGCTTCATTCCTTGTTTTTTGGGGGGTTTGAGGCTATTGATGTACTTTTTTGGCATGCCCATAAAACCTTTCAAAAAGTATTTGTGCAACTCTTATATACTCACATGGACAAAATTACAGTGGATGGCTGCTTTATTTATCAACTGAAGATGATGGTCACAATTTTTATTTTTTTTGGCCTTCATATAGGAGCAAATGGATTCAGGCAAAATTAAGATTTTCTTTATCTCTAGAAATGACACTAAAGCTAAAATAATTAGACTGTTTTTCCACCAAAAAAAGGAGACTAAAAGCTCATCCAGGTGTTTTTGAGTAAAATATAAAAGTTTCTGTGAATAAAAGAGAAAACTTTTCATGGGCTGGACCTTCCATGGTTTAAAATTTCAAAATAAACATCAAAAACAAGATTATATGTATCAGTCTAAATCTTAATATAAAAAAGTCTGTCCTATAAATAATCATTGGTGGGAATCTGTTTGAGTCAATTTTTTCATTTGTGTTTGTATATATTTTTGGAGTTAGGTCACTGAATAAATGGTTGAAAGTGTCATGCTTAAAATGAATATTTTGAAAACATTTCATTTTTAGAGGAGATACCCTTTCTGCATATATAGGAAAAGTTATTCTTTGTATTGAATTTTATGAGTTGAACTCTTTTTATCAAAGCAAATCTTCGAAAAATGTTGGTGATATAATTCATGTGAAATCTGCATACAGTATTGTATTTTGGATGTTTGCTTCTCTTCTTTGAAAAGATTCAGGCGAGTCATATACTTTTTTTCTATGTTTGAAGGCAAATATGTTGTGTTTTCGTTTGTTTTTAGTGAACAAATTGTGCCTTTGATGTACAGCATGAGTTATATTAAATGATTCAAATAAGGAAGTACATTCAAATTGGTTAAAGCTTTTCCCTTTACTTTGTGTCCTTTCACAGAATAAAGCTGAATTTGAATTCTAACGCATGACAGTTTGATATCAAACCATTGAAATTCAGCAGAAATCCCCAGCGACCTTTTCCCATTACTTCAAATTAAAATTAAAAAGGATGCGATTTTTACAATAACCTAGTTCGAAGCCGCCCTGAATTTTACTTCGGAGCCCGAGAGTTGAATGTCCTGCCACCAAGTTTCACATTTCCTCAAGTTCTTCGTCATCTGCATAAAATGGCAGTGAAAAAAAAGGGTACCGGTAAATATTTTGCAGAATTTTAAAAAGCCATCCTATTTTTCATAATCAAAACATTGTTTCATTACATAACCCCGCCAAAATATTGCAAGGGAATTTTTTTTTAGAAAGGTCGCGTGAATCTTTGTGAAAATCTTCGGCTGGATTGAAATACAAATTTATTGGCGCATGATGCATATATTTTTTTAGTTTGTGAGTTTCTCTGCGTTCTTTTTCATATTTTTATGAGGATATTTTTGGATGGCACGATTTGTTTTTGTGTCTAGTCTCCTGGGGGAAATATATTCATTCTGGTCCCAAGTTCAATGAACTGCTTTGATTTTTGGGAAGAAGCGTCCGACGAATAATGTTTCTTCTCCATGAAACAAAAAATAAGATGCAGGAAACGGTTTACCTCTCCCGAAACATTCGATATAATTTTCAGTTAGAAAATAAATAATTTATCGATTAGGTTTCTGTAATAGATAAATTATTTGAATATTGAAGAATCCTCATAAACAAATCAGTCCAGTTTTTGAACTCATACAAGAAATGGAAATAAATTTTGAACTATCCATGTAGTGTATATAGACGTTGTTTTACACATAAAAGCCTGACAAAGTCTGCAGTATATGTATATGAATAAATGAATGAATGACAGAACACTTTATTTGCCACTTTTCAGCGTTCACAAGGTTCAATCAAGATTTCCACAACCAAACCCCCTTGAATAAATGCTTGCTAGCTCACACAATGGGAAGTCTTTTCAAATGAAATGCTTTCATGAAGAGCAGGGGAAAACACTTCGCAAATGTTACAGTAATATTCAACGCGGTTACCAATAAAAGGCCTCACTTCAGAGCAGGAAACAGAGCACAAATTCATAACAACAAAAAAAGAAGATACAATCCATGAAATGCAACTGGACATCAGACATGTATGCATACACCCATTCATTCCCTGCTGACATTCAAAACAAGATATTGTATATATAAAAATTAATTTATACCACAAGGTCTTCAGCTTGTTTCTGTATGAGGTTTAGTTGAATGAACAAATCATTTGTATATTAGTGTCAAAATTATACGTATGATGAATTTCTCAAGGAACAAATTATTGTTTTGTATTTAACAGTCCACACCATTTTCTGATCTGGAGGGCGCCTCAAGAAGTTGCATGAATCATATTATTCATATTAAAAAGCTAGAATAATTCTGAATTCAAATATTGTTCTCTACATAACTTCCAATGAATCAAAGAAGCGGCCTATTTTTACAAACGCGGCCTATACATATATACATATATATTCAGTAATAGTTGGATTCTTTGGATTCTTGAGTTTAAAATTCCTGGGGACATTTGAGGAGATCTTCATTATTGGGTTTGAAGTTTTTTCTAAAGAACTACTTAGGAAGGGGTCTTCATCATAAAAAGACGGTCTTTTAACCAACAACAGTCAGACCTAAACGTACCGAAAGATGTTACAAAGTCCTTTTAAATGACACTAGGAGAATTGATGCCACAAGGCTTGTGTTTCTTGCATGGGAGGAGTAATCCACTTCTAAGCACAAATATCTGTGTCATTCCAGGACAGGGACACACCAGGATGTTTATGTTTTAGTGCCTCAGCGACATCAGACACAAGAGCAATCTGCCAGACCTTCCTTTAGTCTATCCCTCAAAGCTTCCTTAACCTCATTTTTTCCTTGTGAAAAATGTTTGCATTTTCTTCTGGGTGCCTGAAGTCTGGAAAAAGTGTTCTAAAACCAGTTTCTGGCATTTTTTTTAGTCAAAGTTCAGCATTGTGCTTTTTTTTAACTGTGCAGTGTTCCATTCATGATTATATTGAATAGAAAAAAAGGAGTGTCAAAATAAGCACAACCCATCAGTGACAATATTAAGGTCACCAGCATTTTTCAAGAAGCTTGGAATAATGAAAATACACTGTCAAGAAAAAGTTGCTGATCCTTTCCAAGTCAAAACATTTTGTTTCAGTAAGAAAGTGACATTGATCACTTCAGAAATAATTTACAATATAATCAAAAGTCCTCCTCATTCTACTTCTTGAAAGAATATTGAATTCATCAAGGAAGAGGGGGTTTTATTATAAACTTCATTTGCAAATTGAATGTGTGTACTTCTTCAACTGTAAACCAAGTGTCTGTGAAGACTATCTTTTCAATTCTGCTTCATATTAGAGGAAGATCCTTTCATTCTTTGTTCAATGTTTATTGAAGCAAGAGAATGTGCTTTGAATGGCAACTGAAATGGATTTTGTGAGGTCCTGCCATGTTTGTAATAAATTATATGTTTCAAAAGAAATGGATAATGTGAAAGATCTTCAGAAAGTTTTATTTTGTAATAAAAGAGACATTGACATCACATACTTTCCAGCCAGGCTCTATAATGATGAGTAAAACTTATGGGAAACATTTCTTGCTTTCAAAGAGCTTTCATATCCATTTAAATGCATCAGCAATATGAGAAGTTTCCAAATATCTGATCAAGAAATGAGAAAATGAATTGTGCGAATTTATAGAAAAACTCATGAAACATTGGAATAAATGATTTGCATTCAAAATTCCAATATTAATACTATCTTTTGGGTTAATAAAGTCGTATTCCGGACCCGTCACAAAAGGTCACTAGGGCCACCTACAACGGGACTGAAATATCCCGGAGGTGGTACTTCTTTGGAAACACCGAAGACTGAAATAAGGAAGTGACATCTGTGTGTAAGTAGTTACAGTTCTTGTCCAGATATTCCACATTCAAGGTTTCATGGGATGTATATTTTGATGCAGGTGTGCTTGGCCAGAATCCCAGGTTTGGATTTGATGGTGAGTTTTTGGATCCCAGTCAAGAAATAGACAAAGAATTTGTTCAAAACACCTAAAAGCATAAACATGTTTTTTTTCATCAAATAAATTTTTGCTTGATCTCAAATTTTTTATATTGATTTCCTTTGCATGATTGTGGTTTTTCCCACAAGTTACTCATATTTAGCATTAATCAAAATTAGATTGTGGTTTAAAAAACGACTCTATTTATAATGGGTGTGAGCTTATGTTTAGTTCAATAATGTCTGTTTGATGAGCTGCAAATAACACTCTACTGCTATTCAAAATTTTGGTTACTCACATGTATACAAGGTATCTTTTCAGACTTGAAGGATTTTGTGGAAATTCATAAAAAGCTTGAAAACCTTTTGACATGCCTTGAGAAGATTAAATATTATGTCCACTTACAGTATGTTAATGCATTTTTGTCTGAATGATGATGTGATTGACAGATATAAGCTAGCTGAAATCTTACTTGGAGCAACACCTGGTGGCAATTCTGCATCCTTCGTTCACATTCTCAAACAGTCCCATGTGTTTCTTGTTCTTAAAAAAAGATTACAATGGAGTGTTTGGAGAAGTTGCTGGTCCATGTGCTGACTACAAGCCAGGAGAAGATGACCTTCAGGCATTTGACTTCATCAGGAAGTTCAACCTGGATGTTATGGAGAGGGAACATCCAGGGGTAACCAAAGTCAGGGGTTCTAACAAGATACAGTCAGCATACAGGCTCAGTAAAGATGCAGATCTGAACTTGCCTACTAGGTAAATTAATTGAATCTTTCAAGTAAAATATTACATATAATTTTGTATGCCATTTTTCCTTGCAGGAGTATTTTTCCTCTTGGGCTGCCAGACAAGTTCAGCTTCATTGCCACATTCAGGCAAAGGAAGGTGTCAAGAGTAAGCTGGGATATCATCAGGATGGTTGACATGCAAGGGAACCCACAGTTTGCAGTCACTCTTGCGCCCAGGGACAATGCAGTGCAGTTTTCCATCATGAGCATTGAGGGGAACCTCATGACAGTGTCTTTCCCAGAAATCAAGGTTTATTTTCAAAATTTGTACAGTATTGGAAAATGTATTGGGTACCCCAACAATGTCATACCCCTCCTCAGGTTTTTGATGAAAAATGGCACAAGCTGCATTTTGGCATATTCAGGGATGTGAACACAAGGATTGTATTGTACTCAGACTGTCAAGAAGTTGGGTCTCAAGTCTTGGATTTGCCCATTGGACCCATTGATGTCAATGGGAGAACCCTTATTTCAAAAACTCAGGGTCAAAGAGACAGGACAGTCTTGGTAATTATAGAACAGGAGATGCCCAACCATCATTTGTTTCAATAACATCTCCCCTTCATCACCATAGATTGACTTGCAATGGATGGTCATCAACTGTGACCCTACCAGGCCAGAGAGGGAAACTTGTGATGAACTGCCTGTGAGTTAAGCAATGTTTAGCTGTTGTCAGAATCACAAAATAGAAATTTTATTTCTTACATAGGCTCCAGAACCTGAAGAAACAGCCTTGCCACAAGTGCAGGGCCCAATGTGTGATGTTACTTGCCCACCTGGCACACCAGGCTACAATGGTACTGATGGGCCACCAGGCCCAAGAGGATTTCCTGGATTGCAGGGCATTGCAGGAGTTCCAGGGTTCCCTGGAGTGAAGGGGGATCCTGGTATCCCTGGCTTTCCTGTGAGTTGCTCATTTGCATTCAGTTACATTGTTTGACTTCTAAAAATCAAAATATTTTAATAACTGGTGAAGAGTACAGGTATATGTTGAATGCTAATTATGAAAAAAATCAACATTGTTGAAATGCATTGGAAAAGTTGTTGCTGAGTTCATGAAATCATGAACTTTTGTTTTAAAATATTGAATTTGTGATTTGAGGCAACACTTGAAATTTAAAAAAACTTCATTTTCAAAAGATTTCAATAATGTGATGAGGTAGTAGTTCTTCTCTGATTCCTAATTCTTGATAACCATATCTGAAAATTTTAGAAACTGAGAGTAATGCAGGGTAGAAACTGAATTTCTAAAAAAATTTCACTCAATCAGGGTCCTCCTGGGGCTTCAGGTTTGCCTGGTTTGAGGGGGACACCAGGTCTTACAGGTGGCCCAGGTTTGAAAGGTGAACGTGGCATTTCTGGGGAAAGAGGAGAAATGGTAAATTTGATCAAATTTGAATCAAGTTTGTGCACAGTTTTCA